CTTTGGTGATAAGTCTGGCAGCTGCGTTCTGCATTGACTCATCCAGGCAGGTAAAGAGGGCATTACAATAGTCCAGACGCAATGACACAAAAGCGTGAATATTTTTCTTTAGGTCAACTCTGGAGACCATAGGGCGTATTTTAGAAATGTTTCTTAAATGAAAGAAACAAGAATGGGAAAAAGCCCTAATGTGAGACTCGAAGCCTAATGATGAGTCTAATGTGACTCTTAGATTTTTTTACTTTAGATATGGCTACCGGGCAAAGAGAGGCAATTGTCTGACTGATGTTTGGATGTAGGTGACTGGGAGCTGCAACTAACGTCTCCGTTTTACTGGTGTTTAAAACCGAAAAGTTACTGGCGAGCCAGCCGCTGATATGGGACAAACATTGGACAAGGATAGCCAACCTGTCCAGCTGGTGTGATCTAAACGAAAAATACAATTGAATGTCATCAACATAAATGTGTTGGAAATATAAGAAAATGACTGAATAATGCCAGAAAGTAGGATGATATATAAGGAAAACAAAAGTGGACTCAGAACTGAGCCTTGTGGCACCCCGCTAAGTTAAGGGGGCATAGAACCTGTCCGTCTTGATGCAGAATGTCCTATGAGACAGGTATGAAGTGAGCCAGTCCAAAGCTGAGCCAGAAATACCAGCCAGAACCTTCAGCCTGTTTATCAAGGTATCAAAGGCGGCACTAAGATCTAACAGGACCAACACAGAGCATTTTCCTTCATCAGCAGCCATGAACAGATCGTTGTGGACTTTGTGGAAATTCTATGATCAGTAGGACTAAACATAAAGTACTTCCTTAACGGGCCAGTGCGTAACTTTAATAATCCTATAAGAGAAAATTTGTGCCGTCTTCACATTGAACACTTTCCCTCTGCATTCCCTGGAAGATTAACAAAACATAGGTTCAATTAAAACCGTTGTACTTTATCTGATTTTACCTGACAGCCAGCGGTTATCTGGCTAATCTGAAGAGATTACATCAGATGTGTTGTTTATCAGGAAACTGATAAAAACAATCCTATACTGCCACACCAAATTGTTTCCAAGCATCAGGGTGGAACAGTTAAGACGTCCATTTATAACATCTGATAATACTTGTCCAACACTGGAATCCCCAGGATTCCTTTTTTTTTAGTTACTGGAGGAGCGATGCACAGAAAACTGTAAACTTCAGGACAACAGGTGTGGAAAGAAACATACTTTTGATAGTTTAAGAGAAATAATTTAGAATCAACTCTTGTTTAGACTAAAACATGTATTTGTATCTTATCGTTATCAAATCAAGCTGTCACTACAGTCTGGATTGTCATGGTTACTATCAGATTCTGATAAGAGCAGCATGCACTTTCTTTATAATTAACTAAAATGGATCAGTTGGACAACAGCTGAAGCGACAAGGAAATTCTCCCACGAGCCTTTTTTTTTGTCGGTTTGCTGGAAAGGGCTTTTGTGGCCAGTAAGGGTGACATTATATAAAACAAAACATATCTAAAGATTTTTAACATTTATTAAAGAAAAATACCAGATTATTGTAAAGAGGGGGGGGGGATCAGTTTTTACCTTTTTTAAATTAAAAAATCTATAAACTATGCAAAAAGTTTTTCATATAAAGAAATAAAGCATCAAGTTAATGTTTTATTCCGTGTACTCGTTCCAGTGTTCACATGTTTGCAAAAGAAATGAAAGGAAAACTGTTTGAACTAGTCCCGTTTTGTTGTTTGTAAAACAACCAATAAAATTCAGTTTATGTTAGTTTTGGTCAAAGTTTGAAAGAGTTGCTTCAGAGGGACTAAAGAGCCGCATGTGGCTCCAGAGCCGCAGGTTGCAGATCCCTGAGCTAAGCTACAAGCTAAGCTAACTGTCCGGCATTGGAGAAAAAAAACCTCCGTCTTGTCAAATCTCTAAAATTCATGTTGAAACCCGTGCCTTCATCTAAAAAGTTGTTTTTCTCTGTAAAAAAAGCTGAGAACTTGTTTACTGATTTTTTTTAATTAAAAGTTTTGTGTGACAAATGCTATGCTAAAGAGCTCAAACCACACCGAGCGTCCGCCATTTTGAGAACCCCAAAAATCAGGAACGAGAGACAACCCATGTCACGTCAAGGGGCGTCCCTCCCATTTTTCTTAAAGAGACACACTGCTCGCTCCCTCACTATCCATCCATCGGTTCAAACGGTCTTATACTGCCATCCAGTGGTCAAAAACGGTACTACACACAAACTAATCAACATTTTTCCTTAAATTTGACAATTACTAATTATTGTCAAACTTCAAACAAGATTTTCATTCTTCACAATAATTTCTGATACAATTAATCGCTCAGTAAAATTCGATATTGTGACAGGCCTAACTGTACATTCATCTCACCGTCATCATCTTAATTGCCATCACCAAAGTGTTTAAGAGCATATTAGATGTTTATAAGAGAGTGGGAAAGGTTTATAAAGCCTTGATATACACTATCTTGCCAAAAGTATTTGCTCACCTGCCTTGACTCACATATGAGCTTAAGTGACATCCCATTCCTAATCCATAGGGTTCAATATGACGTTGGTCCACCCTTTACAGCCAGAACAGCTTCAGCTCTTCTGGGAAGGCTGTCCACAAGGTTTAGGGGTGTGTTTATGGGGATTTTTGACCATTCTTCCAGAAGTGCATTTGTGAGGTCACATACTGGTGTTGGACGAGAAGGCCTGGCTCTCAGTCTCCGCTCTATTTCATCTCAAAGGTGTTCTATCTGGTTGAGGTCAGGACTCTGTGCAGACCAGTCAAGTTCATCCACACCAGACTCCATGTCTTTATGGACCTTGCTTTGAGCACTGGTGCACAGTCATGTTGGAAGAGGAAGGGGCCAGCTCCAAACTGTTCCCACAAAGTTGGGAACATGGAATTGTCCAAAATGTCTTGGTATGCTGAAGCAGTCAGAGTTCCTTTTACTGGAACTAAGGGGTCAAGCCCAGCTCCTGAAAAACAACCCCACACCTTAATCCCCCCTCCACAAAAACTTTACACTTGGCACAATGCAGTCAGACAAGTACCGTTCTCCTGGCAACCGCCAAACCCAGACTCGTCCATCAGAGTGCCAGATGGAGAAGCATGATTCATAACTCCAGAGAACGTGCCTCCACTGCTCTAGAGTCCAGTGGCGGCGTGCTTTACACCACTGCATCCCACGCTTTGCATTGCACTTGGGGATGTATGGCTTGGATGCAGCTGCTCGACCATGAAAACCCATTCCTTGAAGCTCTCTGTGCACTGTTCTTGAGCTAATCTGAAGGCCACATGAAGTTTTGGAGCTCTGTAGTGACTGACTCTGCAGAAAGTTGGCGACGTCTTCGCACTACGCGCTTCAGCATCCGTCATTTTACATGGCCTACCATTTCGTGGCTGAGTTGCTGTCATTCCCAAACACTTCCATTTTCTTATAACACAGCTGACAGTTGACTGTGGAATATTTAGGAGCGAGGAAATTTTACGACTGGATATGTTGCATAGGTGGCATCCTATCAGTTCCACGCTGGATTTCACTGAGCTCCTGAGAGCGACCCATTCTTTCACAAATGTTTGTAAAAACAGTTTGCATGCCTAGGTGCTTCATTGTATACACCTGTGGCCATGGAAGTGATTGGAACACCTGATTCTGATTATTTGGATGGGTGAGCGAATACTTTTGGCAATGTAGTGTATTTACTATACATAATCAAATATGTATAATGTCGCTACTCATTGGATTTTCACCAACCATAGGGTTCTCTGGAACGTAACCCCTGCAATAGGTGAGGGATCGCTGTACACAGTATAAATAATTGGTTTAAATCCTGCGATACAGTAAAGACTCAAGAAGTGAGCGACAATATAGCGAAGGACGACTGTACTTATCTTTTTTCAACAGGCACGTTTAAGAGAAGTTTGACTAATCTTATTAGCAATCCTACTGCTAAGCTAAAAATATTTCTATGGGGAACACATTAGTGGACTTTCCCAGGAACCCAAACAAAGAGCATTGAAATTAAGGTCCAGTAGCCTTTTTTTAGGTGTCAAATAAAACAACATAATATCAGTAACAAAGAAAGTCACATAATGACATTTTTTATCTCTGCTGATACGGACACTTTACCCAATAGTTTTCTTATCAGTTGTTTCGTAATCTGTAACGGGAAACCATTATTTTCTCATTAAGCTTCATCGATTACTTCAGAAGGTTCTTCAGCAGCAGTTTTATCATGGCAAGTCACAAGAAATTGACTAAAACCTAAAAAAAACCCTAAATTTTGTTTTGTTTCGAGACATTTCCAACTTTAACCCAGGTGAGAACTGTAAAATCAGGTGAGTGCAGGATCACTGACCTGGAGTTTGTTCCTCTTAGCGTATAGAGGAAATAAGACGGAGGACCCGTGTCTCCATGTTTGTGCCACCCCTAGGATGCAAAACAACAAGCTGTCATGTTGTAAAAACTATGAGTTGGCATTGTCGTAAAAGAAAAAAGGGGTCAAAAACGATGCGCAATAAACCTTTGCTCTGTGCCTCTTTTCCTGTTGGAATGGGCAATAACTGTAGGGTGAGAAAAATAAAAACTGAACATCAGACATTTTAATAAATGAGAGGAAACATCTTTAAAACTTTAGAAATGAGAAGGGATAAACAAGGTGTTATAGTGCCTGATAAAGACACATCACAGTTTATAGGCCCAGAGATAAGTAGCTAGCTGCATTGCACTGTACAGTGAGTCCCGTAAGGGGTGTGTGTGTGTGTGTGTGTGTGTGTGTGTGTGTTAGGGTTGTACTTTGATCCCGGTCATTTCTAGTCTACAAGTTTATCAGAGACATGGGGTTTTCAGCATAAAGAGCCTGCTCTGACGTTGTTCAGCTGCTCCACGAACGAAGACATTACTGCTAAAATAAACCCAACTCTACATCTCTGCTGTTTTTACACTTTAATAAAGTAATCTGTAAAATATTTTTTTATTTTTTATAAGCAGCTCATCATGATCAGCCGTAACTTCAAAAATGTGTTGGTGGTCTCTGTGGGGTTTCTGTCTCTGTTCACGGCTTACGGAGGCCTGCAGAGTTTACAGGTAGGTAAAACAATTTAAACACATTTTATTATTGATCTGTAGATGTAACAATATGTTATTAATGTGGTTTATCATATTACTTCAACTGTTAATTATATTTAATTGACACTTCATTTAGTAATATTGAACAGTCTGTTTTTTTTTTTATGTCATTTTAACTGCTAGAAACAGAAGATTTGGTCTGATTTAGAGACAGATTAAAAAAAAGTATAAAAATATACAATATAAAAATGAGGCAGTTGTGATTAAACTGTTAAACTTCCATCATGAATTTCAAGATTATTTTCAGAAATAATTTCAAATATTGCAACATTTGACGGCAACTTCGTTTCTTTTTAATCACTTTACTTAAAAGTAAATAAAACATTTGTTCTGCACATGTGTTTGTTAAGATAGCCAAGTTGACTTCTGTTAGTAAAATATCAGCATTGGCAGCAAATCAGTGATGCTTATAAGTCATACTGATTGGCTAAATACAATGGCACAAGGGCGATGTTTAATTATTGGATAATTTCCTAACTGAGGATGTTGTAAAAATTATCAAGATAATTAGTAATAATAATCTGAGACAGAAGACAAATGTGTCAAAACAACTTTAAAACAAAGCACAATTAAACGTTTAAAAGCAAAAAGATCCCTGTGCTCCTTAATGCTGTTTACTAACGGACATGATTACTTCTCTGTACAGAGCAGTCTGAATGCAGAGCAGGGGATGGGTGTTGCATCTCTGAGCGTCATCTACGCCTCCATCATCATCTCCTCCATGTTCCTGCCCCCCATCATGATCAAGAATCTGGGCTGTAAATGGACCATTGTTGCTGGGATGGCTTGTTACGTGTCATACTCGTTTGGAAACCTCTACCCTGGATGGTAACTTCCACTTACTGTGTCACTCAAAGTATTTTAAAAAACTAATCACCTGATCCAAATTATAAGATGGAAACCTGATACTTTACTGTTAACTGAGATTTGTTTTACACTCAGAAGCCTGGACATGTGGTTTGGACATGTCCAGAGGAGGGACAGTGGTTATATTAGTAGAAGGATGTTAGAAGCTGCAGAGAAAAAGACAAAGAGGAGATATGTGGATGCACTTAGAGAGGATGTGAAGGTAGTTGGAGTGAGGACAGAGGACGCAGAGGACAGAGTGAGATGGAGGAGGATGACTTGCTGTGGAGACCCCTGAAGAGAGAAAAGCCAAAAAAAGACACTTGAGCAGGATTGACTGAAAAGAACAAATCATCTTCGTTATCTGAAAGAGGAAGGAACCTCCACAAGTATAATATTTGAAATCACTTATTAGATTTACTAATTGCTAGCAGGGTGGGTAACTTCTTTTTTCATCTTGATACAGCATGTTGATCATGGACCCGTTAAAATAAAAAAACAGGAAATGTAGCTTTAGAGTATCTGTCTATAAAATGGTTTTGTTTTTTTCTTACAAAATTCTCTGCTCTTTAGTTTCTATTTTCAGTTTCAACATAAAACACAGCTGATTTTACATTAAAAAAAAAAAAGTCAGGGGCATAAAACACAACTGCTGTGTACATTTCATGATTTTATTTAATCTATGAACGTCAAGAGTTATAAAAGGAAAACTTTAGTTTTATCGTTAGTGAAATTTAATTTAAATAATATTCTCCAAGTGTACAGATTTACAGTATTAAAACTGATCTCTGTAAAGGTGTATTTCTAGCTAACCAGTGGTGTTTTTAGTTAAATGCTGATGGCGTTAGGGGCTAAAGTGCTGTTTTATCAAAGTGCTCTTTTTTTTAAATAACAAAATTGAACTCCAATGCATTTATTTTATTTATATCAAGCCTGTAAATTGAAAAATACTTGTAACATCAAAGTTACAGAAGGTACATTGTGAACAACAGATTAATTGCCAATTCAATCAGTAGTTCCTGAAATATTTCACGTCAATGCCACTGATCTGTTCTGGCGTAGGTACACCCTCATCCCGACCTCGGTGATCCTGGGTTTGGGCGGCTCCCCTCTCTGGTCGGCTAAATGCACCTACCTGACCATTTCTGGAAACATCCAGGCTGCTAAAGAAAATAAAAAGGGATCTGATGTCATCAACCACTACTTCGGCATCTTCTTCTTCATCTTCCAGTCGTCGGCAGTGTGGGGGAACCTCATGTCGTCGCTCATCTTTGGACAGGACACCAGCATCTGTAGGCAAACCAAATATTTTCTGAAATATGTTCTGGATTTTTATGGTTAAACGATAAAACTTGCACAGTACTAGAAAGCACAGATGGGATCTAGATAAAAATCAAGCAAAGTTAAAACAAAAACAAATGTTTATCTTTTTAATCTGAAGGTTTTTGCCTCGGGATATAATTAAAAACATCTGGTTTCAAAGTTAGGTCTATAAAACTTCAAATGTACAATTGATGACTTCGTATCAGATTTAAGGACTAGAAAATTTGTGGTCCCCCTCTTCAAAAAGGGGGACCAGAGGGTGTGCTCCAATGACGGGGGCATCACTCTCCTTAGCCTCCCTGGTAAGGTCTGTTCAGGGTACTGGAGAAGAGAGTTTGATCGCTGGTCGTACCTCAGATCCAGGAGGAACAATGCAGATTCTGTCCTGGCCGTGGAACACTGGATCAATTTTTCCATTGTGGTGAAGAGGGAGCTGAGCTGAAAGGCAAAGCTCTCTTTTTATCAGTCAGTCTACGTTCCTACCCTCACCTATGGTCATGAACTCTGACTGAAAGAATGAGATCATGGATACAGGCAGTTGAAATGAGTTTCCTCTGCAGGGTAGCTGGACTCTCCCTTCAGTGTTTCCACTAGTTAGCTTGCCATGGCGGGGTGCTCATCTCATCCATGATTTTTGCTGGTGGGGGGGACGGAGACATGTCTGAGCGCAGCTTGTACTAACAGTTTTTGAGTGGGGGCGGGGGACATTCAACATGAGGGAAGAGGCAATGTGAGTGCTGCCTTGGGATTTTTAGCTAGAGAGCCTGTATTTTGCGCCACTACCTTAGTGATATGTCAGTGCCGGGTGGGAGGGGCAAGTTCAGATTGGTAGGCGGGGTGCTCAGTTTTGTTGGCGGGGTGGGGCACCCCGCCTGTATAATGGTAGGGGAAACACTGCCCTTAGAAATAGGGTGAGAAGTTCAGTTATCAGGAGAGACTCAGAGTAGAACCGCTGCTCCTCCACATCGAGAGGAGCCAGTTGAGATGGTTCGAGCATCTGGTAAGGATGCCCCCTGGGCACCTCCCTAGGGAGGTGCTTCAGGCATGTCTGACTGGAGGAGACCCCGGCTCCGTGGCTTTGGTTCATTGAGGTTTGCAGACGCTGGTTTCTGTGCAGCTCTCTTAAGTTCCCACCACAACATTTAAACCAGAACAAGGCTCTGAGCTTTGAACCGTTGCAACAACTTTATTCTTTTGCTGTTTGGGATCTTTGTCCTGTTGAGTGGAGGATTAACGCAGTTTTATTTTACTTGTCCTGCTCTGAATGTGCTGAGGGCGATATCTCACAGGGTATATTTAAAGGAGTCTTCTGAATGCCTCTAGTATGTCTTAAAACTTTCGCTGGTGTCCTCAGCTCGTGTGAGTCAAAGAGGCGCGCAGCCCATCAACAACTTTTCTCAAAATACACACAACATTAGCGTGGGCGTCTCCGACCCGATTCAAGAGCCCAGAAGTTGTATTTGGTCTCCTGCACAGAAGCTCTTCTCTGACTAAACAAAACCCAAAAACAAACATATGAGGCAAACGTTCCAAGTCTAAAAATCATGCTAATAATAAGAATTTAAGAAGAACTCATTTGCCCTTCTTTATTTCTAAAGCATCCTAGATCAGATTAAAATGTGGGGGCAGCTGCCAAGATGGGTAGGAGTGGTCAACAAAATAATGGCATAGAGTAGTTTTCAATTCAATTCAATAATAATTTATTAATCCCAAAGGGAAATTAAGTGTTGTCATAGCTCATCATCCTAGTTCCAAGAGTTATAAATGCTGATAACTGTGAGCAGGAAGGATCTCCTGCAGCAAATCTGAAAAATCTGGCCACAGATACCGATCCGTCCAACCAGATCCAGCTTGCTACCAGATCCGGCGGGCCTCTCGATCCTCCTGGGCAGCAGGACTGCCCAAATTCTGGGCAGAATTCTTCCCTGAGTAATGGTCACTCCTCTCAGCAGTGTGCCAAGCTCCTCGTCGCCACGGACAGCCAGCTGAAGGTGCCGGGGGATGATCCCGGTCCTCCCATTGTCACAAGCTGAGTTTTCCACCAGCTCCAGGATTTAGGTGGTCAGGTGCTCGAGCACCGCTGCCAGGTTGACAGGAAATGGTCCATGGCGCCTCCTTTTCAACTCATTTGGGATTTGGGGCTGTAGTTGAGGTATTTGAACTTTTGCTAATCAGCTGCTGCAGGTTGTTAAAAACACTTTGTTGTCATGGTTACGCATCATAACAAATGCCCAAAAGTAAAAAAAAAAAAAAAGGTTTCAGTAAAAATCCTTCCAGCTGCACAGAATCTGATACCAGAGGAAATAATCATCTGAAAAAAAAAAAATAATAATAATTACATCCAGAAAATAGCGGAGTTAAAGTTTCCAAAAGCAAAAACTCAAAATGAATGTAACAGAGCTACTCCAACATGCAGCCACCACGAGCGACGCAATTCTACAACTTAAGAGTTTTAGAGGATGTGAAGACCAAAATAATTACAATATTTAAAAACTGGCTGCTTAACATGCAGCTACGAGACCCAATGGTCACTTTGACACAAACAGAGTCCAGTGAAGCTGAAAATTCAGTTTCTTGTCGTTTTGAGGTTCCAAACCGTTTCAGCCCCGTCGTGACACCGCACCTTAACTGGCCACTGTAGAGTCTGAAATGGAGATGTTTAAGTTCTCTATAAAGCATGACCTTGAGGCGAACTAGCAATGATTGCTAAATGTCTTCCATTTGTGAGTACTCTTTTTCCAAATGGTTTAAAATTGGAGTGATAACCATTTTCAGACACAACTGCTTCTTCAAGATAACCGCTGTCGTCTTTCTGCTTGCATATTGTTCCCACAAACCAAAATGCTTCAAACCTGAAAAGTCTAATCATATCATGTCTATTTTTTATTTACAGCCCCTTTGAAATCAATGGTCATTGGCCAAAGTGCTGCACATAATACATATAGGCAGGAGACAGTATAACAAGAGGCCATAATAATAAAAACAACAGCTTTGAATACAACAAAAAATTAAACTTATAGAAACTGCACTAACTTCTGCATTTGTAAAAGGGGCCCTAACTTGATCATCGGTTTAGAGAAGAATAAAAACACGGCGTATGTTGCTGGAGGTTAACGTCATAACGTGTGCCTTTAATTACGGTTGTAATGCTGTCCTATCAGTTTATGATGTCAATAGTTTATTGTTTCTTGGAACCCAAGTGCTTCTACTTCCTTTCTACTTCTTGAAGCTGTAAACTTCACTCTTCACAAACAGCAGTTTAGTTCTACTTTTGTTCTGTAAAGATGCGACCCATAGAACTGAACCAGGAACCAGGAAATATTCCAGATTAAAGCCTCTGACCACATTTCCTGTAAGAATGATTCAATTCCAGTACATTTCAAGTAAACTCGCTTTAGTAAGACGTGAATGAATTTCTAACGAATCTTAGCAACAAATTAAATGTTTTACTATATAAATAATATATTTACAGAACGTTGTATTATTTTAAAACTTATTAAAAGATGAACATTTTGCAGTATATTTCAAAGCAATGGTGGAAACACTGTAACAAAATCTGCAGCAGATTTCTTTATCTCCTTGGTGATGGAGCGCATTTGTCTGTTTGTGCCTTTTTGTTTTCAGCCGACATCCCAGAAGAAGTTCTGGAAACGTGCGGAGCAGCCGACTGCGGCCTGACCATCAAAGTCAACAGCACGACCAGCAGGCCATCGCAGAATCTCGTGTGGACGCTTGTCGGCAGCTACATCGGTAATATCACAACTTAGGGTGTTTTTAGATTAAACTACACTTATCTTAAGTTTGTATAAATAGGTGAAAGCTTGCTTGAAGTTCTATTTTCTTTAAAACATTATAAAATGATAGTTTTCAAGAGCTGCGATGGTCACTGCTCGTTGTCTTGTTGAAGGTGTGGGGGTGCTGGCCATAATAATTGTGTCGGTGTTTCTGGACAACGTTGACCAGGAGCAGACCAGCCAGTTCCGTGAGAACAGAGAACCGTTCTGCCGCACGTTCTTGGCCACGTTTAGGCTTCTGAAGGACTGGAGGCTCGTGACGCTCATCCCACTCACCATGTACAGTGGCTTTGAACAAAGTTTCCTCTCTGGGGAGTACACCAAAGTAAGAACTCCAAAAGAATATTCAGATAAAGCTTTATACATAACCAAAAAAAAAAAAAACATACAAAAATATAGACTTCCGGATTTAATTTAGTATATTTGTTTGCATTAATGTTGTTTAGTTTTAAATTTCAACACAGTTTATTACTTGTTACAGCAACTAAACCTTACACTTTAGTATAGTTTTATCTTTTCCTCATACTATGGATTTTTCTGCCTCGTAGGTCCTCAAATTTTAAAAGAAGATATTCTAATTTACAGAACACAATGCTCTTGAACTTTCAGAAAAGCATCATTTGTAGCCCACTTTATTTTACATGCATCTAATTTGTATTACCTTAAAACAAATTGGCATGGCTCCTGGTTAGTTGAGGTCTTCACTGATTTCCTTTCAACCATTTACTGAGTCTTTAGACATTCTTGATCCACTTTGACAAAGTTTTATCGTTTATGACAAAATATGAATACATATGTTGTGTCTTTGCAGAACTATGTGACCTGTGCTTTGGGGATCCATTTTGTTGGATATGTGATGATGTGTTTTGGAGCATCCAACTCCCTTTGCTCGTTTCTTTTTGGGAGAATCGCTCGGTACACTGGCAGAGGTCCCCTCTTCTTACTGGGTAACATTTCTGTTCTATGGCTGAATCATTTAAGAGCGCCGACTGATATGGAAACTTTGGCTATCACTGATACCGATAATGGGTGCGGTGAATGCCGATATCCGATATAATGGCTGGAAATGTTTAAGCCTTTTCCACCCCCAAGAATCTCAGTAAACAGCGTGTGGAGCAGGGCTTGTTTATTTAGCGCATCCGTTAGCAACCATGAAGCTAAGTGAATCAGATCCACGCTGTACGTAAGTCCCATTCTAGGTCTACAAGTGGTGCACTGGTCATAAAAAGTCTTCCTAACGTGCATTCACATTTTCTATCCTCAGTATTCATCATACAGTTATCAAGTGTGTTACAAAATTATAAATTAAACAAAGAAACACCCTTCCCTGTTCATTGTTTACACAGTTATGTATGGTGAAGGTCTAATTAGTATTTACCACAGCATTGTTTATTTTTCTTTGCAGAGAAGTAAAGATTTCAGACAAACAATGTATTTCAGTGAGGACAACAAAGATAATGTTACTAACACTGGATGTCCTCAAACTGGAAGCTCAATCTGACAGAACTGGTTCCTACAACTACTGACAATGGGGCTAACGTCGTGAAGACGGTGCAACTGAACACTAACGTTAGCTTGCTAACTTGAGAGACACGTAATGACAAGCGGGAGGATTGAAGAGAATTTATAATTGTTTTTTATTTTATGTTACAGATCAGTTAAAATAAACTTGCCATGCTCTGTTCAGCAAACTATGCAACAATGTATTGCTCCCTGCTTTGTCTGTGATGAACGTCAAAAGTGAAACTTAAGGCCATGACTTGAAAGTAGTCTTCATGCGCCCTCTGCTGGATACATTGTACGGCTGATTCCCAGCACTTTAGGGGTGAAAATTAGAAACGTTTATATTGATGCATAATGTCCCCAAACGTCTATATCGGCCTAAATTATCGTCTCTCCTGATATATCGGTCAGGCTCTATTATTTATTGTAGCTTCCTAAATATTTGGTTTGTTTACAATACATTTTGTGTCTGATAATTCTTCTTATTTTCAGCTGCTTTGGCCAACCTCGCCTGCATCATTGCTCTCTTGTTCTGGAGACCTCATCCAGACCAGATGGCTTTGTTTTTTGTGTTTCCTGCTTTGTGGGGAATGTCTGACGCTATCTGGCAAACTCAAACTAATGGTAAGACAACCTTTGAATTTATTTCACACATCACCATTATATCCTGATGCATGCTCAATAATCCAAGTAGAACAATCTAAAAAGGTTAATTCTGGTCTTCTGGACATTCAAAAAAACAAAACAAAAAAAATGTAGAAAATTTTCATATTTCATCCGAAAGACTTCTTCAGTCTGAGGTGCTGTATTCAGCTCAGTCTTATAAATAGCACCTTCTCATAGTGGATCAACCAGTTTGCTGCTGACAACCAAAACCAGCTGCTCACATGATCAAGGAGGACCATCAGCCTTTCGGATGAAAACGTTTCTATATTTTTTTTGTTTTGTTTTTTGAATGTCCAGAGGACCAGAATTAACTTTTTTTTAGATATCACCATTATGTTTGTGATTTGATGTACTCACAGCAGCCACTTCAGCTTTAATGATGTTTCTTTTGAATACCACCAAACAAACAGAGATGGCATGTGTTTAAACTGAGATCAGTTGATTACATATGAATTAAATTTATGGATATTCACTGTCACCGGTTTTTTCGTTCAGCACTTGGCTGTCTTTTATTTGAGGCTCTTGCTGTTTTTATTCTACCATTTGGTTTAAAACAAGCAGAATTATCTCTCCTCTGCCCTGCAGCTCTTTACGGCGTCCTTTTCCCGAAGAACAAGGAGGCAGCGTTTGCCAACTACCGGATGTGGGAGTCGCTCGGTTTCGTGATCGCCTTCGCCTACAGCACGTTTTTGTGTCTGGAGTACAAAATCTACATCCTGCTGGCCGTTCTGGTGCTGACGGTCATAACGTATCCCATAGTGGAGTACTACGAGTATAAACATCCCACAGAACCCATCGAAGAATACGCCATGCAAAGCCACAAAGAAACAATTGAAACAAAGACGGACATCGTCGCTCAGACTCAAATGTAGAGACACAACGCAACAAGTACTGTATGTAATGGTAAGGTTTTAAAGGGACTGATAGAAACACCCCCACTATACTCACATGACTATGACCGTATACCGTTTCTTAAATCGTGTTTGTCTTTTGTAAAACTGGTTCACAAGCTGTAAAACATTTTGAAAAAAGTAAGAGAGAATAGTTTTAAATTGGTCACTAACTAAACATGGGTTAAATGGGAACGCTTGTTTAAATAAATGTTTAGTATGGAATAATCATTGAATATGGACCATTTCTTTCTTTAAAACAATGTTTATGAAAATGTATATGTTTTTTGTGGTCAAATTCTATGTAAAATGTAAAAAGGTATTTTGTAATAACTTACATATATGTTTGACATTTTGAAATGATTGATAAAAAAAATTAGAACTCTTTCATGATGATCTATTTTTTTGAGATGCACCTTAGGTCTTTGTTCAAGTCGGAGGCTAACTCGGTCAAAAAGGTCAAGACAAGAAAAGCTAAATCGGTCAGCGTGTCAATCTTCTATGCTGCAGAAACTGGACTCTTAACGCTGATAGAGAAAATAATATGTGCATTTGAAATGACCTGCCTCCAGTCATCTGCTGAGGTAGTCCAAGTCCTCATGGAGATCACGACCCCTTCCTAACACAGACCAAGAAGAAGCCCACATGGTGAGGGCCAAGCAAACTGTCAAACATGATCCTTCAAGGAAAAGCTGAAGGAACCCATAAAAGGGGGTGTCCTACTGGTCAATGGGCAAATGATGGGGCCCCAGTCCTTCTTGAGTCTTGACCTCACTCATCTTGCTGAGGATTGGCTAAGGTGGAGGTTGCTGGTTGTACTACTCCTACAGAAATAGGCTCATGAACTAATGATGATGATGCAGTAATAAACCTCAACAATCTTTTTACAAATATTTGAGTACTGTTTTCTATTTTTATGTTAGTCTTCCATAAAATTATTAAAACTTAATATGTATATGCCAATTGTTAGATTTGAAACATGTATATTCAAACATATGCTGTACAATAAATTAAAAGTGTCAGTGACAAGTACATTTATTTCTGCCCTTTTGTAAGCAACATAATGTCCCACTACAAAATGCTTCACGAACTGTGGTGGTAAACAACAATAACTCCTTAAATAAAGTACCAATGAGCAGCATTTGTACTAAAAGCTCTTTAATGCATGAAAAAAATATTTTAGGAACTCTGAAACCAGTCCAGATGTGCTCACTGCTAGTGCTCGAAAGCTGAAAATTAATGACAGAAAATACATCAATCCAGACTAAAAGCAGATTCTGTAATAATAAAAATAAAAGCATCTGTAGTTAATTTTTACTGAGACAGCTGTAAAAAAAAAAGTGGTCAATATTAGATAAATAGGGTGGAAAACAAACAAGGTTAAGTGAAACATTTTCCAGTCTAATTTAACGTGTGCTGCTGACGTCAACTCGGGATGTTGTGGGTCGGTGGGCAGAATACTTTGAAGACCTCCTCAATCCCACCGGCACGTCTTCCAATGAGGAAGCAGAGCCTGGGGACTCTGGGTCGGGCCCTTCAATCTCTGGTGCTGAGGTCACCGAGGTGGTTAAAAAGCTCCTCGGTGGCAGGGCCCCGGGGGTGGATGAGATTCGCCCGGAGTTCCTTAAGGCTCTGGATGTTGTAGAGTTGTGTCGGCTTACGCGACTCTGCAATATTGCGTGGACATTGGGGGAAGTTCCCCTGGATTGGCAGACCGGGGTGGTGGTTCCCACTATTCAATAAGGGGGACCGTAGAGTGTGTTCCAACTACAGGGGATCACGCTCTTAAGCCTCCCTGGTAAGGTCTATTCGGGGGTTCTGGAGAGGAGGGTCCGTCGGACAGTTTTGTCCTGGTCGTGGAACACTGGACCAGCTCTACACTCTCAGCAGGGTCCTGGAGGGTGCGTGGGAGTTTGCCCAAACGATCTACATGTGCTTTGTGGACTTGGAGAAGGCGTTCGACCACGTCCCTCGGGGAACCCTGTGGGGGGTACTCTGGGAGTATGGGGTACTGGGCCCTTTGATATGGGCTGTTAGGTCCCTGTATGACCGGTGTCAGAGCCTGGTCTGTATTGCCGGCAGTAAGTCGGGCTTGTTCCTGGTGAGAGTTGGACTCCGCCAAGGTTGCCCTTTGTCACCGATCCTGTTCATAACTTTTATGGACAGAATTTCTAGGTGCAGCCAAGGTGTTGAGGGGATCCGTTTTGGTGGATTAAGGATTGCGTCTCTGCTTTTTGCAGATGATGTGGTCCTACTGGCTTTATCAAATTGTGATCTACAGCTTTCGCTGGAGCGGTTCGCAGCAGAGTGCGACACGGCCGGGATGAGGATCAGTTCTTCCAAATCCAAGGCCATGGTCTTGAGCCGGAAAAGGGTAGAGTGTCCTCTCTGGGTCAGGGAGGAGGTCCTACCCCAAGTGGAGTTGTTCAAGTATCTTGGAGTCCTGTTCACAAATGAGGGAAAAATGGAGCGTGAGATCGATAGACGGATAGGTACAGCGTCTGCAGTGAAGCGGGCGCTGTACAGGTCTGTCGTGGTGAAGAGAGAGCTGAGTCAAAAGGTGAAGCTCTCAATTTACCGATCGATCTACGCTCCTATCCTCATTTATGGTCACGAGCTTTGGGTTTTGACCGAAAGATCGAGATCTCGGATAAAAGAGTCCGAAATGAGTTTTCTCCACAGGGTGTGTGGGCTCTCCCTTAGAGACAGGGTGAGAAGCTCGATCATCCGGGAGGGACTCGGAGTAGAGCCGCTGCTTCTCCACGTCCAGAGGAGCCAGTTGAGGTGGCTCGGGCATCTGTTTAGGATGCCTCCTGGACGCCTCCCTGGTGAGGTGTTCTGGATACGTCCCACCGGGAGGAGACCCAGAGGAAGACCCAGGACACGCTGGAGGGACCATGTTTCTCGGCTGGCCTGGGAACTCCCCGGGATTCCCCCAGAGGAGCTGGACTAAGTGGCTGGGGAGAGGGAAGTCTGGGCCTCCCTACTTAGGCTGCTACC